TCTCGTCTCATCCCAACCCATCCCATCTCCTCTCGTCTCGTCTCATCCCATCCCATCCCATCCCATCTCCTCACGTCTCGTCTCGTCTCGTCTCGTCTCGTCTCATCTTGTTCTCCTCCATTCCTAACATGCTCATGCAGGTTTCCTCCCACACAGCTTTCAAAGAGTTCCAGTGTTCTTCAACGCAGGTTTCTTCAGAGATGTTGCTCGATATCTCCCATTTTGTCTTCATGGCTGGCTGATGTGAAGATGTCCTTTGTAGTTTCGTCCTTCAGTCCAGTCTCTGTTCTGGGTATTGAACTCCAACTCTGGTCTATCATCACCAGCTTCTTTGAAGGCTTTCAACTTGATTGATTTTCAAGGTAGGTTCCTCTCACTAGATAGTGAGTGTTGTCAACCCACATCTGCTCCTCTTCTTGATTTGATCCTGTGTCCAGTAGACTGCGTCTCCACTTTCTCCACATTGAGATGAAGTCGATCTGATTTCTAGTGTAGTGTGTCCATCTGGTGAATGGTGAGATCGAATCGATGTCGCTGCCTTGTGAATGTGCTTGTGTTTGTTTGTACACACTACCTGACTCCAATCAGCAAATCGTTGAATGCGCAGAAGTCTGCAAACAGTTCTCCATTCTCATTCATCATTTCACCGAGTGACTCTCGACCCATGATGACTTCTCTTCCTGTGTTGTCGGCTCCCAGTTCCGCATTCATGTCAACCCACTCATTAGAATTTTGATGTGGCCAACTGGGGAGGGCTTGTGTCCATTGTTGACTGCAGTTGTCTGTAGAATTCCTCATTCTTCTCTTGATCTGTTTAATTATTTGTAGGTGTGTAGCGTAGCATTGTGTGATTGTGACTTTCCTGCCTTTTGAGTTGGACCTTGCTGTTATGATCCTGATCCTGCAGGAGAAGATTGGTTCCCACTGCATGAGAGAGAGCCTTCTATGCTCTCGAGTGGGGAACATCATGATAGTCACTGGAAAACTCAGTGTGCTCGTGGTCGTCATCGTCTGGGTGACAATATCGGAGTAGATTAGATTATTGACTCTCCAGTTGACAGTTTGGAGAGTCGACTTCCATTCCATCTGCTTTCGCAAATTCCTGACACTTCAATGCGATACCTTCTCATCTCTTCTGCAATCTGGGCAGCCTTGGTAGGTTCATACATGGTGTGAGCATTCCATATCTCCAATCTTACTTTTGCATTCATCGAGTGATCGGAGACACATCGGCCGATTGGTTTCTCGAAGGCTTTCACTAACCGGCGTCATTTCATCCCCCGATTCCAGGAAGGAATAAATTTAATTTTATGTTTTCTTAGTGCTTTGAAGTTTGTTTAGTGGTTGGATTGGTTTTACTTGGTAGGTTTGCTAGCCGTATTCCCAACCTTTCCTCTTTACCCGGGCTTAGGACTGGCTAGTATCTAGTGAACTACTTAACGATGCGTTCACGATATACTAGATTTGTTTTCTTAGTAAAAAATCTGGAATCAATATTGATGATGATCTATCGGCACCACTGATTTTCTTGCTTCCGGAAACATGTAAGCTGAATAACTCAAATGAATACAATGAGTCAAAATCCTCTCCTCTCTTAACTAACTGATGTGAAGTGTTGTCGTTCATTCGTGTTTCTTAAGGTGTAAAGTACTATGAAAAGTACGTACATGCATTCCCATTCTCTTTGTTGTGTAAATGTATCGCACAGTGAAACATTATGAATTACTAGATGACAATTCAGATATTTTATTTTCCATAGTTATACCCAGATATCTCCACAACTTTTAGAAATAGAGTGTCCAATTCTTTTTCTGTCTCTCCCTGTGGCATGTGAGTAGCGGAATACTGCATACAACTGGAACGGATTCTGAGTCATTTCTGTCGTATGCATTTCGTGTGGATTACATAAGCGAATACTTGATTATCAGCTCCTGTCTCTATTTCAAAAAGTCAGTTTTATTGATACTGTCACTCTGTCCCATTCTACTATGTGATTGTAGGTGTGTTGTGACAACCAAACTCTGTGTCCCTAACTTTAAATCACACTTGAAGCATGTAGTTCCACCCTAAAAATATGATTAAAATCTGTAAATAATGTATTCATAACACTGAAATCGGAGCATATAAGTAGGTCTTTTGCACATAAAATCAGAAGTGAACGCAGTCAATTTACCATTAAATTAGAAAGTGGAGCTAGCGACGTTGGGTTTCAAAATAAAAAGAAAACAAAATGGAATGTTATACATACATTTTAATTGTTATTTAGACTTCAGGAGTGACTTTGGAGACAGTCATTACAACCATGAGAAAACCAACCTTCCAGACAGAAGTGAAAAAAGGTAATTGACGATTTCAGTAGTTGCTAAGGTAGCCTTCAAAATGCCTCGATTTTACACTATCTCACCCAATGTTTGTAAAAGTGGGTTTGGTTAGATGTCTAAGTGTCCAAACACGTTATAATTATAATAGTGGTAAGACTATAAGGAAGTAATTCAAAGTCTGTACGGTTTTACCATACAGGAAGGTACTTCAGATGTGTTACTGATAGTTCCTAATAAGGCTGACTTTAGAGTGACAACTGGATCTAAAAACTCACTTGGAAACATTTTTTTGTTGGTTAAAAGACCCTACTGATTCAATTCGGAAAAATAATTCAGATTACCAGATATCTTCCAATGACTGAAGGTTTAGGTCAACATGATCGATCAGGACCAGTCAGACTGTTTTAGCACAAAAATTAGTCAAGATCTATAAATGTTAGTAAAATAAGGAATCTACAGAAAAGCTCGGCTTACCATATTAAATAAGTAAACAGAGTGAAATATGGATTTGAGCACTGTTAACACCGATTTCTGACTAAAAAGCTTTCGAGCAAGGAGGTGAAATCAAACATCTACTAAATTAATCCTACTACCTGTTTCGGCAAAAGTTATGCCTTGTTATCACTGCTGTTTAACTGTTGTGACGTTTTAGGATATTCTGACTACTTGTTTTATCCACAAACATGGTGAAAGTGAAAGGAAAATCATAAGCTCTCGCGATATATACTATTCATACTGAAGAATAAGTTTATCATTGTCTCATTGATCCATAAGTTATTCAAGAAGAGAAATAATCGCTGAACAGTTATCCATAGTCATGCATGAAAATTAGAACTTAAAAGTCACCAATGTGAATTTTTCTACAATCGAGATTTCTTTTCAGTAACACTCATACACCCTTATATTGGAAATCATACTACTTTAGCAGATCACATATAGAGTATAACTCAATAAGTTGTATTCAATTGTAAGTTATTTATTACTATTATTTATTACCTAAGGAAGGCTGTGAATATTTGTTAAATCAAGGTGGCCTGCCTATACGGAAGGACTATCAAAAATTTTCCACCTAATATATTTCATAAAACTCTTCCCTTTCAATTTGTTTTGGTCTTTTAAATATCTCTTTTAAACATATCATTTGCTCTTGCACATTGACAAAATGTTTCCAAACTGCAGTTTTTCAAGCCAGTAACAAAATAAACTAAAAAAGTTACACCAGTTAGAAGAGGTAGTATAAATATACAGAAATATAGCAAATTAATAAACCTAGGGCACCTTCATTGAATTTCAGATTCTTTTACTGGCTGAATAAATTACCGTCACCAAAATTACGCTCTTCTTTCTATTCATTCAACAGTCTAGACCAGACGTTAATGTGACACTAGCTGTCTGTTTCATATTATTGCCTTTATTAATGTTCAAAAAAATTTTTAAGATCTTATAATTATTTTGCACGGGGAATGAATTTGTTAAAATATTGTGCTGAGAATTCCATACGGTATCATACTTGCTGGTCGGAATAAAACGATTATTAATATTATTATCACTCAGCAACATTGGAAATGGTAGCTCTTTGAAACGAAGTGGTTTAATAATTAAATGAATATTCCGCGTCCATCGTCAAGTTTAATTTGTCCGGTTATACCCGATAGAATGCTTAAACTTCTGTAAAAGTAACTTAGAGGATGATATTTAAATAATTCTTAGATGTGAGATGCTGGACACTACTTTCTCTAAGATAGCATGTGCAATTTATTAGATCCTTCAAATTTATTGACAGTAAAATCTGTAAAAGTTTCATAAGAAATAATAAAAAAGATATAAAGTTCTATGAACAAACTGGGATTATATATTATCCTTAGTATTTATACTTCCTAATGAATGGACAATAAAACGAGGTTGATAAAATAGTTTTAATTCTATCACTGAAAAATTCAAGTGCCAAGATAACGAATATTACTCACCCAATGCTGAAGTTTTCCAAACTACTAATTTCCATTTTGTTCTAAATATCATTAAAACTATGATTGTTTTATATGATAAACCATGAGAATAGAACGAATAAATCATAATTTTTGCCTTCTTAAAGCGTAGACAGTAAATCGGAGAAATTTTAGAGTGATATGACTGTTTAAGGTAGAAGTTATCAGAACGACAAGTTACCTGATAGAGTAGTTACAATGAAACTGCAACTGAAGGCTTCAGAGATGAGTGACAGTAAATAGGAAAGTAATGGAAAAAGCAGTTCAGCAGTAAGAGACGCTTCATCTGGGTTTTATACCTCATAAAAATAAAAATCAGGATATATCTATACTTCCAACGAAATTTATGTCTCATCCAAGGTTTAAACCTGCAGTAATTGATGATGAAATCGGAGGAAACACTTCCAAGCCATTATGGAAATAATTTGAAATATTCAATGGGTGGTAAACAGTGTCATTCTGAAAACACCAAAGTTGACTACTATCTATCAGTTAAAAAGTAAAATATGAATATGAAGCCAATTAGCACAAATTGACTAACCGAATCCTTCATGTCAAAAAACTAAAGAAGGAATCCTTCAAAGAGTTTCTAGATTTATTGGTTTCTGACTTTTATAATGATTATTTATTTGCACCAAAAATTAACCACCCACTGCAACTAAAAACTTTGGTTTCCCTTTACATTTCATCTTACCTGTCAACAGCATAGGCCATAAGGCTGGCACTAAGACGCATTGAAAAACATTTAAAGGTTTACACCATCCATGCATAAGCTCCAGGCTGACCATAGCCGGTTCTGATATTTTTTCTGCATTAATTTCTGATTGATTAGGTTCAGGCGGAACAGTCTTAAAACTAAGCTCATTTTCTTCTGGAACTGATATCATTTCCCGTGAATTTTCACTTTTCTCTTGAGCAACATCTGTTTCCTGACGATATACATCTTGTTCCGAATCATCAGCTAGTTCCTCCAAAACAGTCGGTATTGTTAGTCGGAAAACGAAAAATATTGGTGTTTGTAAAATTTGTAAAAACCGGCTAAATACTGATTGCTGATGCCATGATTCTACATCGATTGGTATCATATAATAAGCGAAATGATGCCAAACACCTTTCATAGCCCATTTTTCAAGCCATGAGACATCTGACTCCGCCATTTCGTCTTCTGCTTCTGAATTTGATCCCTCTACGTCTTCATATTCTTCAAAAGTTCCTTCCTGATTATTGAATTTCGGTAATTTATTTAATGAATCTTCATCATTGTCACCAGTGCCTGGCATTTGTTTGCCTGTATCTGAATCAGTGGGCAGAAAATGCAATTTTATCTTCTTTAAAGATGATGATGATTTTTGCATCGTATCATCCTCAGCCGAGTAGTCTGATGAAGCAGGTGATGGCATATGAGTTGGTGTAGCTAAAGTTGATGCAAGACGAGATCCTTTACGACTGAATAAATCTCCTTAAAGAAAGTAATATGAAGAAAGCATGAAATATAGTAGGCAATGTGAGGAATTGCACTTTTGTTCCTCTATAAGATTGATGCAAGAATTGTTTTGAAATTAAATTGCGTTGAGTGTATTTCATTCCCTCTCTTCTGCTCATTAACACAGTTGGCCAACTTTTTTTATGTGAGTATCAACAGAGTATTACAGAGGTCAAAAATGGGATAAATGCCGTATATAACTGTTCTAGATAAATCTCTACATCAAAATTAAACTAATTAGTTCACAGTGTAATGCCTAATACCTATTTTCAACATATTAACATAAAGGAATGTTATTAATAAGAGAAAATTGAAAATAAAATAGTCTGAAATATTAGAAATTCAGTTTGTAAGACAAAACAGCACGAATATGTATACACACCACTTTTGTTTTCGTTACTGCCGGAACTTCAGTCCAAAAGGCACATATCATCTCGGCCAAACTGGACTAATTTGCAAAATATACTACTAAAGAAATGACCTAGTGACAACTCATAAAAATCTGTAGATTCAGCTAATAAGATCAGATAGGTCTTTATACCCGATATTCTTTTCTCTCGTTTGAAGTGGAGCTCATTAGCAGTGTGCCAGGACAAATTCGGCCCAGAGATTTTAATTTTCCCGATCGAAAATATCTGGCTAGCTACCTAGGATAGACCAGTATGCCATCAACTGAATGTTTAGTCCAAAAATTATTCACAAGTTGCGTTTTTCATGTTAATATTTTTCACAAATGAGTAGTTTTCAACAGCGTAATAATAGTATCCACAGGATTTCTATTGGATAATAAAGTGTGATTTTTCTCATAAAAACTAATTCACTAGGGAGACGATTACTAAACAGCGTCGTTATCCGTAGATCGATCATCCAACTAATGGTGTACTACTCCACTTAGGTTAGCCAACCAAATCTAGTGTAAATAAATAATTCAGCTTTATGGGCTGTATTTGTCTTGGTGCACCGGTTATCTAACTAGCTAGCTATGTAGAGACTACTCCTAATGTTGGGGAATATATTTCGTTAATCCGTGACAGTTTCGCACCAGAAACTGTACTTTGTGATATCATGTAGGCTATATCCAATTAAAATTCTACTGAGACAACAGTCGAGTAACTGAAAAACTAACCATCTGCTAGAAATTTTAACATGGATCATGAAACATTTGGATAATTGACATAGTAGGCTGTCCGGTATCGTTTTGTCATAGATTAGCATAGATTTCTGTCCACTACACTATAAGACATTTACATCTCACATAATTCGAACATCACTACCTACAGACGTAAATGAAAATGTGTGACCCATCTTACTATCAACCTACATTTTATACTTTTTCACTGCGTAATTTTCACGACTTCATTGTAAAGTATGGTGGTAAATTGCATGCCAACACATTTGTAGGCAAACATTTACGATAAATATTGGAAAACTTGAAATGCAGTGTGAGAATTAAACCAATTATAAGTAGTTTAAAAAGGATGTATACACATGGGAACTTCGCAGAAAATAAAAATGTATTTCCAGCAAGAAAATGTACAAACTTTAAACTAGTCCTCTTGATACAGATATATATCTTTACAGCGGTGGGATGATGGTAGTAAGGAGTTTCGTTCTACAGTTTTTAACTGACTACCATCAAAAAATCAACAAGATCAGTTATTTATTCTTATCTCCGAGGTTCCTCCGAATTTTCTAGAAAATCTTTCTCCTCAACACTTGAAAACTACAAACCACGTCATTTTTAGTGACACGAAGTTCATCATTGGGTAGAGATGAACTATTGTTTGAGTGAAAACTGCCCACTGGATGATAACCAAAGTTCCTCTTAATTCAAAAGTGCTGATAAAAATATTTTGATGAATTTTCCATTGTAACCACCAAGGTAAGTGACATGACAATCAGGTATAGTGTGCTGAAGGTTGAAATTGAAAGGATGCTGGTGAATTCACTGCATTTGACAGTGAGTAGCTGACTCATGAATATGCCAAGGAACATGAGCTGTTGAATGCCGAGAAGTTTGAAAGCAATTGTGGACTAACGCTTAACAGGTATTTGGAGTTTTTTATTCACCCTTAAAACTGCATGACATTTCCGATTTATATTCATTTCTCTAATGAATGCTAACTTACTTTAAAGTTTCCACAACGTACGTTTTCCATAGTTTCTCTTATTATTCATCTATCTCCATAATACCTTTGGTTCTAGAACACCTGATTAGTTTCCACTTTAGTAAGATTATCTAATATATGCTGGACAAGTTATTCAGATGGAGAATATTTGCAACTCAGAGGAATAATTATTGTGAGACTGTTCTCTGAACTACTTAATCGTGAAGCTTTCATTGTCATTCTAGGCAAAGTTATCAACACAAACTTCAGATGCGAAACATCCCCATTGAGTCAAACTTCAGAGAGAAGTGAAGCATGACATTTTCTCTGCAAGTGGCTTTGTATCTTACCCTGATGACTTTGGGTGAGACTAACCGTTTCTACTCAAATCTTGTGGCATCCTTCTAATATATTTTGGTTAGTTGTCCAGTTGACGTGAACTCTGATTGTATTGTTCCTCATGTTTTGTATTGCTTGATGAATTTGGTCAATGTTACAATGTCTGTTGACTGCTGACTAAATTGACTTCCAAGCTTCTAAACATCTTCTTGCATTCCTCAGGTTAGCCTACATGAGCCCCTACTAACAGTGAGAGGTCTTGATATATCTTCGCTAACATCGATAAATGTACGTAGTCATAAAAATTGGGAAAAGTTCTATAGAATGGCCAACAGACATATCAACATTGACTCAATCTACTAATCGATACAAAACATGAGAAACAATAAAGTCAAAAATCACGTCAACTGAACAACCAATCAAAATACATGTGAAGAAAGTGACAAGATTTGAGTAGAAAAAATTAGTCCCACTCAAAGAAATCAGGGTAAGATACTAGGACACTTGCAGAGAAAATGTCATACCTCAATTCTCCCGAGAGTTTATGAACATGGCTTTGTATAGAATCACAATGAAAGTTTCACGACTAAGCAGTTCACGTTAGTGAAAAAAAAAATCTTAAGAAGGTTGATGTATTTCATATTACAGAATCCAGCAAAGTCCACAAGCCATCCAAGTAATTTCATTATATTCACTTGCATCTTGGGCTCCTAGTGCAAAAAAACATGTCAGTAGCACATAGACATTTCACTCTCTTCTCTTTAGTCTTTTCAACCTGGCTCCACCACTGCTCACAAGCTTTCATTTCTTCCTCACACCATCTCCTCCATGTCACCCTCACCTCGGACGTCCAACTCGTCGTTTCCTATTTGGGTTCCACTCGATGACCTGGCGCGAGATGTCCCTAGTCGGCCTTCTTAGTGTACGTCCAATACAATCCATCTCCACCTTCTTCTGCATATTTGTTGGGTGATGAGTTCTTGGTGGGTTCGTTGCCAGCCAGCCAAGCTTCCTTCTTGCTCATTCTTTCTGGCCATCTGATCTGATCTTCAGTATCGAACGGCTGCTGATGATGTTTGTCTGCAGTTTGTTAGAAACGCTTTTCGTAATGCGCCAAGTCTCTCAACAATCATATAGAAGCACTGACTTGGCTGACATTGGTGTTGAAAATCCCGACCTTGTTCACGCTTTGTGCTGAGTGGAGTGCAGTAGATCACCACACTGATTTCAGACTAATGAAGTAAGGCCTGTCTTGCTTTTCCAATCCTGGCCTTGACATCCTCATCTGTGTTGCTGCTACCTGTTTTTCAAACGATGCTGCCTTGCCTAGTTAGGTGAAATAAACAATTTCCTTGAGATTTCTCCCGTTGATAGTGATTGGTGCTTGTTGTTGTTGGTTGAGTATCTTCATCCCCTCTATCTTCTCTACGTTCACCTGAGGGAAGTCCCATCCTCGCTGCCCCGCCTCTTCTGCCAACTTCTTGGTTCTCACCTGTGGATCTTCAAGTTTGCCCAACACTAGACATAAATCACCACTGGCGAAATCCAAATCTCCTAGGGTCCTCTCATCGGTCAAACACCATATACTTATTCTTTCTGCCCACTCAGATCATTTCATGTGCCTGTACTCCTTCACTTGCAAGTCAGTCACAGAAGTGTCTTTCATCTTTCCGCACACTCTTCTTCAGTTCTTTGTCCAGTGAAGTGTTTTACATGGTGTACTCAGTTCCTCTTCTCGTTGTTCATCCCTGCACTGCACTGCACTGCAGTGGTTCATCTTCTGCCTCACCATCCTTCTCTCCCTCCTCTATCAGCTTTCATGTGTCCATCGAGATCCATGCCTTGTCTCGTCTCATCCCATCCCATCCCATCCCATCTCCTCACGTCTCGTCTCGTCTCGTCTCGTCTCGTCTCGTCTCGTCTCGTCTCATCTTGTTCTCCTCCATTCCTAACATGCTCATGCAGGTTTCCTCCCACACAGCTTTCAAAGAGTTCCAGTGTTCTTCAACGCAGGTTTCTTCAGAGATGTTGCTCGATATCTCCCATTTTGTCTTCATGGCTGGCTGATGTGAAGATGTCCTTTGTAGTTTCGTCCTTCAGTCCAGTCTCTGTTCTGGGTATTGAACTCCAACTCTGGTCTATCATCACCAGCTTCTTTGAAGGCTTTCAACTTGATTGATTTTCAAGGTAGGTTCCTCTCACTAGATAGTGAGTGTTGTCAACCCACATCTGCTCCTCTTCTTGATTTGATCCTGTGTCCAGTAGACTGCGTCTCCACTTTCTCCACATTGAGATGAAGTCGATCTGATTTCTAGTGTAGTGTGTCCATCTGGTGAATGGTGAGATCGAATCGATGTCGCTGCCTTGTGAATGTGCTTGTGTTTGTTTGTACACACTACCTGACTCCAATCAGCAAATCGTTGAATGCGCAGAAGTCTGCAAACAGTTCTCCATTCTCATTCATCATTTCACCGAGTGACTCTCGACCCATGATGACTTCTCTTCCTGTGTTGTCGGCTCCCAGTTCCGCATTCATGTCAACCCACTCATTAGAATTTTGATGTGGCCAACTGGGGAGGGCTTGTGTCCATTGTTGACTGCAGTTGTCTGTAGAATTCCTCATTCTTCTCTTGATCTGTTTAATTATTTGTAGGTGTGTAGCGTAGCATTGTGTGATTGTGACTTTCCTGCCTTTTGAGTTGGACCTTGCTGTTATGATCCTGATCCTGCAGGAGAAGATTGGTTCCCACTGCATGAGAGAGAGCCTTCTATGCTCTCGAGTGGGGAACATCATGATAGTCACTGGAAAACTCAGTGTGCTCGTGGTCGTCATCGTCTGGGTGACAATATCGGAGTAGATTAGATTATTGACTCTCCAGTTGACAGTTTGGAGAGTCGACTTCCATTCCATCTGCTTTCGCAAATTCCTGACACTTCAATGCGATACCTTCTCATCTCTTCTGCAATCTGGGCAGCCTTGGTAGGTTCATACATGGTGTGAGCATTCCATATCTCCAATCTTACTTTTGCATTCATCGAGTGATCGGAGACACATCGGCCGATTGGTTTCTCGAAGGCTTTCACTAACCGGCGTCATTTCATCCCCCGATTCCAGGAAGGAATAAATTTAATTTTATGTTTTCTTAGTGCTTTGAAGTTTGTTTAGTGGTTGGATTGGTTTTACTTGGTAGGTTTGCTAGCCGTATTCCCAACCTTTCCTCTTTACCCGGGCTTTAGACCGTTTCGTGAGCTGAGGAAGTGGAAAATTACGCATGATTCCTTCTTTTATATATATATATATATATATATATATATATATATATATATATATATATATATATATATATATATATATATATATATATATGTTTACAACACAAATGTACGACTTGAATATTTGAAAATTCATCATAATTTCGCTGTCTGCAATTTTGTACAGGATATTCATCGGTAGCTCATTTTTCTCGTTGATAATTCTTTTCACTTTTATTGTTGGAATGATTCCTTTCGTTGTCCTAGAAGAACTACAGTATCGCTTTCAAAGTAAAGTCGCCATTTGTAAGTATACGTAATATGTGCATATATGCCTGTTTATAAGAATTTAATTTAGGTAAAACCTAATAAATTTCAATTAGCAAGCAATTTTTGAACTAACTGTTGATAGAAGACTCATTCTGTGACTCTTCGGCATCATACTGAGAAAATTTCTGAGATTTTGTCTCACCATCACCTAGGATAAAAATCACAGTTTGTAAGTATACAAAACTTCATGGTATTATGTAACGAATATATATATATATATATATATATATATATATATATATATATGCAAGTTGCAGATGATCATCACAAAGTACATTTCAAAACTCTGATTCATTTCAAGCATTAGTGTCGAAGAATCTCATTCTGTCCAAATATTTTGTGAAGCGGTGCTTACACTAGTGAATTTGTAAATTGAACAAGTGGAGACTTTTGCATTCAGATTTTGTGTTTTTCAGAATGCAGCAATCTCCAAGAAATGAATGCTTTATCCAAGATTCAAATGTCAGCTGTTAAAAAGTAATAAAATGAAGTATACTGATCTTTATTCGCAGATATCCTGCCTATTGCTTTAAAAATACTGAATCATTCAGATTTGTAAGCTTCAGCCTCCCTGTCCACCTGCTATTGTATTTCTTCGAATACAAATTAAACTATGAACAGTAGCGTCCACAAAAGTGCATATTTTTGTTAATGTTAGCGCGAAAACTACCATGAAAATTTAATATGTGGTTGTATCATCTATTATTATTATTTGTCCCTTTGGTTCATAGCGGAATATAGGGCTTCAGCAGCACGTCTCCACTCCACTCTCTTCTCTTTACTCTTTTTAACCTGGCTCCACCACTGCCCACAAGCTCTCCTTTCTTTCTCACACCATCTCCTCCATAACACCCTCACCTCGGACGCCCAACTCATCGCCTCCCATCTGGGTTCCACTCAAGGGCCTGGCCTGGCCTGACGCGTGATGTCCCCAGTCGGCCTTCTCAGTCTATGCCCAATCCATCTCCACTTCCTTCCAGTGCATATTCGTTCAGCGATAGCTTCTTGGTTGGTTCGTTGCCAGAGTCCCTCGTTGCCTATTCTTATTATTCTGGCCATCTGAGCTTCAGTAACGAGTGAGCGTAGGCAGTTGTTGATGAATCTCTGTAGTTTGTTGGAAGTCCCTTTCGTACCGCGCCAAGTCTCTGAACCATATAGAAGCAATGACTTGATGTTGGTGTTGAAAGTCCGCATCTCGTTCACGCATTATGGTGACTGCAGAAGATCTCCACACTGGTTTCAGGTTAATGAACGCCTGTCTCGCTGTCTTCCTGATCCTAGCTGGCTTTGAAATCCTCATCTGTGCCGCCACCTGTAGTTGAAACAGTGCTGCCTAGAAGGGTGGGTGAAATAGGCTACTTCCTTTAAGTTTCTCTCCTTAATGGTGATTGGAGCTCGTTGTTGTTGATGGTGGTGTTGATTGGGTATCTTCATCACCTCCGTCTTCTCTACGTTCACTTGAAGTCGCGTCCTCGCTGCTCTGCCTCTTCTGTCAACATGTTAGTTTTCGCCTGTAGATCTTCAAGTTTGTGTGACATTAAACATAAATCATCAGAGAAATGCAAATCTTCTAGGATCTTTTACGCAGTCCAGTGTATCCCCCCACCCCACTCTTCTCGATCCTTACTGTTTGTTGCACTATCCAGTCCACTACAATCAGGAATATCATGGGTGATAGTGACAGCCTTGTATTACTGCTGTCCTCACTTCAAAAGCATCACTGAGCTTTCCATTTTGAATCACTCGGCATGTGGTGTCTTCATATAGCTGTTCAATGAGATTGATAAAGGTTTGCGGTATTCCGTAGTGTGAAAGCAACTGCCTGATAAATTACTTCTCTGTCGACGCCTTGGTCGAAGGCCATTTCAGAGTTGATGAAGTTGAGGTGAAGATTCAGTTGACTGCCATTCTATGCCCCGTTCTATGATGATGCGTAGCGTAGCATCACAATTTGATCCACACATGATTTGTTTTTCCTGAAGCCAGCCAGCCAGCCAGCCGGCCAGTTCCGGTCATAGTTTTGAATCCAAAGCATTTCTTATTCTCTCCAGGTGATGCGACATAATATTTTGCTTGGGGTGGACAGGAGTAGAGCATGATTCCGCACCAGTTCTCGAAGAGACTTAGGTCTCCCTTCTTTGGGAGTTTGACAAGGTAGCCCTTACTCCAATCAATGACCGGGTACCTTTCCTTCATTCCTAAACTTCTGTAATAATGGTGTCAGCATGTTCGCCGCTGATGTCTCTGCATCTGTTTTTAGTGCTTCTGGTGGAATTCCATCTGATCCTGCTGCTTTCCCGAATTTCAGCAACTTTATGGCGTTCAGAACTTCAATTCTGCATTTCTTGGAGGGTTTGTCATCACTGATAGTTCTGTGGCTGGGCTGTTGGTAGTATTTCTGGACGAATTGCAGGTGGTGATGGTGGTCAATTCAAGAGCATTTGGAAGTGGTCAGCACATCGTTTAACTCGTTTCTTCTCTTTGCTAATTAGATTTCCTCCATCATCTCTTGTTGGTTTCATCTGTGTTCATCTCCTTCAAGATTATAACTTGGTTATTTGGTATAATGTTGTCACATCTCTGTCTCTCCTACCTACAGCCTGTTCTGCTTCACTTGCAAGTCAGTCACAGAAGTGTCTTTCATCTTTCCGCACACTCTTCTTCAGTTCTTTGTCCAGTGAAGTGTTTTACATGGTGTACTCAGTTCCTCTTCTCGTTGTTCATCCCTGCACTGCACTGCACTGCAGTGGTTCATCTTCTGCCTCACCATCCTTCTCTCCCTCCTCTATCAGCTTTCATGTGTCCATTGAGATCCATTCCTTGTCTCGTCTCGTCCCATCTCGTCTCAACCCATCCCATCCCATCCCATCTCCTCACGTCTCGTCTCGTCTCGTCTCGTCTCGTCTCGTCTCGTCTCGTCTCGTCTCATCTTGTTCTCCTCCATTTCTAACATGCTCATGCAGGTTTCCTCCCACACAGCTTTCAAAGAGTTCCAGTGTTCTTCAACGCAGGTTTCTTCAGAGATGTTGCTCGATATCTCCCATTTTGTCTTCATGGCTGGCTGATGTGAAGATGTCCTTTGTAGTTTCGTCCTTCAGTCCAGTCTCTGTTCTGGGTATTGAACTCCAACTCTGGTCTATCATCACCAGCTTCTTTGAAGGCTTTCAACTTGATTGATTTTCAAGGTAGGTTCCTCTCACTAGATAGTGAGTGTTGTCAACCCACATCTGCTCCTCTTCTTGATTTGATCCTGTGTCCAGTAGACTGCGTCTCCACTTTCTCCACATTGAGATGAAGTCGATCTGATTTCTAGTGTAGTGTGTCCATCTGGTGAATGGTGAGATCGAATCGATGTCGCTGCCTTGTGAATGTGCTTGTGTTTGTTTGTACACACTACCTGACTCCAATCAGCAAATCGTTGAATGCGCAGAAGTCTGCAAACAGTTCTCCATTCTCATTCATCATTTCACCGAGTGACTCTCGACCCATGATGACTTCTCTTCCTGTGTTGTCGGCTCCCAGTTCCGCATTCATGTCAACCCACTCATTAGAATTTTGATGTGGCCAACTGGGGAGGGCTTGTGTCCATTGTTGACTGCAGTTGTCTGTAGAATTCCTCATTCTTCTCTTGATCTGTTTAATTATTTGTAGGTGTGTAGCGTAGCATTGTGTGATTGTGACTTTCCTGCCTTTTGAGTTGGACCTTGCTGTTATGATCCTGATCCTGCAGGAGAAGATTGGTTCCCACTGCATGAGAGAGAGCCTTCTATGCTCTCGAGTGGGGAACATCATGATAGTCACTGGAAAACTCAGTGTGCTCGTGGTCGTCATCGTCTGGGTGACAATATCGGAGTAGATTAGATTATTGACTCTCCAGTTGACAGTTTGGAGAGTCGACTTCCATTCCATCTGCTTTCGCAAATTCCTGACACTTCAATGCGATACCTTCTCATCTCTTCTGCAATCTGGGCAGCCTTGGTAGGTTCATACATGGTGTGAGCATTCCATATCTCCAATCTTACTTTTGCATTCATCGAGTGATCGGAGACACATCGGCCGATTGGTTTCTCGAAGGCTTTCACTAACCGGCGTCATTTCATCCCCCGATTCCAGGAAGGAATAAATTTAATTTTATGTTTTCTTAGTGCTTTGAAGTTTGTTTAGTGGTTGGATTGGTTTTACTTGGTAGGTTTGCTAGCCGTATTCCCAACCTTTCCTCTTTACCCGGGCTTAGGACTAGCTAGTGCTTAGTGAACTATTTATCCCTGCGTGGTTTTCCATCATCTTTTTAATTATACTCGCTGATGGCGTAATTTCAGACACTGCATTTTCCACAGGGCTTTTTATAAGTTTTTATTCTTCTTGCCGGCAAACGGTGGAATTTTACTCATTTATAGAGCGTATATATGTTAGCTTTTTATATCGGTAATTTGTCAAATTCACTCTTGTATTAAGTTGGTGGTTAGAGTATACATTTGTGGCTTATTAGTGTGGGTCTTAGTCACCCAGTCATTGGGTTACCAGCTCAAACCTAGTTTGACCTACTAGGATTTTGAGTTGCATTCTTCGTCTACAGCGTTTAGACAAGTGAATAAAGCACGCAAAAGTACTACACTACCCGTTATAATTGAATACATTGCAATTTAAGGACTTATTTTGGTAAAAGTAGTAAGACTAATTTTAGACTTTTATATTACTTTCTTGTAACTGAAAGGCTTATTCAGAGCTAACAAGCATTACTTTTTGTCTCATTGTGTGTATGGAGAAGTAATAAGCTACCATTTTTGACAGTAAATAAATAATTATGATATTGGCCTATGAAAAGTATTCTTTCCGAAATTTTCCTTCGCATACATCCAGTTAACATGCAGTTTTAAGTAGAAATTCGAAAAAAGAGCTCTTCTTTGAAGTGTTAATATTTGTAACTAAGCTGAATGGTCTTAATGATGACAGGTTTTCTGAGCCGAATAGTTAAATGTTGAAGATTTTACTAGCTTCATAGACAAAATCACTAGTCTTAACTTCATTTTAAGTTAGAAGAAACGATCAATAATCTGCTGCTTCTTCAAGGCAGGCTACCAAATCACTCAGGCAAAAAGTGTAGCAGCTTACCTTATAATGGATTTAGTGGTAATGATGCTGTCTAGAACAGCAATGGAAGCTTTATATGTAAACCATTCATCTCAAAGAATGCATCACTACGAAGAATTCTTCTCAGTAACCAGTTTCTTTTAAATCCACATCACGAGAATAGTTAGCTTGTCACAGCTAAATCCCATTAAAAATATGACAATGAGTTTACTCCGGATACAGCCATGTAATTGAGATACTGTATCGGTTTTCAATATGATACTCTTGATGCATTTCTGCACAGGTTATCAAATATCCCCAGAATAAATTAACCATTCAGTATCAATTAATGAAATATCCACCTAATATGTCTGATGTAACCACCTGTTTAGCGACGAAGACTGAAACAATTGCAGACCCGTGAAACGGGGAAAAGAAATTGGGGTAAAGGTTAAGACTATTCATTCTTGTCTCGGTATATTCTAAGATTTTCAATAAAAATGAATGTATTTGAATGAAGTACACTTAATTAAAATATCCGAAGACCGCTCTTTTGAAGCCCACCAACATTGCAACTTGTCCTTTAATCCTCAGTATTTATCCGGTCATACAAATCAGTAGATCTCCAAAAGACAATTCATCTTGAAGAAAAACAAAATCTAATACTTATTCATTTATTTTCCCACCAGGATTGAGTGTTCTGACGACAGGACGATTTACTGACTTAACATACCTTAAAAATATACAAATTACATTGTAACTTTATAAAAATTTTGGAATACTATGAATAACTATATCTCCAACAGTCAATGAAATTTCATTCTTATTTCAACCTTCTTCATTCACCGAAATTATTTAGACCCCTATTGTAGAAAAGAACTGAATATTTCTTACTCAAATAATGTATTGAATTAGTTGCTTTTTAGCCCAATTATTCATTTTCAAATGACAAAGCAAGTATTCCAGTCAGTTGTAAAACATGAAAATTGTTCCAATACTATATATTAATTCACTGATCAGAACTTTTTATCTCACTAGCTTCGTACATGTGAATTATATTATTCCATAGAATGTTAAAGTCTGTAAATCAGTGTTAACCTGAAGAAATTAAATCGCCTCGTATAAAAAGTGATTACAATCTAAAGTGGTGCAGTAACTTACGTGAACCTAAGACTTTTTCTTCTAGTTCACGATTTGCTGCAAAGGGAAAGGTGGATAAAGAAATAAGTTATAGATTTTGTTACTCAAACTTATGAACATTCAGTTCTGGACAGTTTGTTCATAAATGCCTGTTTAAATCAAAGAAAATCTAGAAAATCGAAAGCCCGTAATTACATATATATTGTCATAAATATCATTTCGTTACTGTATTAAAACAATAAAAATAAGTTTGCAGAACATACTGAATATAAGAAACGGTAAGCTGATACAAACCGAACAGCTTGGCTGAGAGGAATTGATAAATTACTAATATTCATAATTAACACTGAAATCAGTGTATTTCACTATTGTAGGCGAACTGTTGAAAAGGATTGATTTTTAAACTTGCAGTTGAATAGATTACAGTCAAGAGTTAAATTTTTGCATAAGAAAGAAGCTTGGAAGTTTTACGGTAGGTTTGCGTGATACTTAGAAAGTATTCGTGGAAAAAGTTCACTACATTAGATGATTATTGTAAAGGCAGTGAGTATTTTAAGTAAAAGTTGGGAAAGACACGTCTGAATTGAAGTTTGATTATGTCTAGGATAGTAAGGGAGTGATAAAAGTATGGAAAAAATATTCAGACCCACAATATATTATCATAATGTGCTCTAAACAACCATTGGTTTGTGAAATTAAAAGTCAGGTTTTGACATACTGACTGCAATAACCTTGACAACTTCTTACCTTGTTTATTTATTATTCTGACTTCAGTTTCAGTGAGAACGATACATTACACGTAAGACAAAGTTGCGAGATGTTGTTTGATTTCTGACATTCTGGGATGCAAAATCCTATGAATACATAATACATACACAAATTGTATGTAGGTTCTCTGCCAGGTTCCTGAGAGGATGGCAGTCAATCTAATAATAACGGCTTCATTTACAGTATTAACTTCAACCTTCCAGCTAATACATCATGTTAACGGATAGAATTCATTAGCCTTTCCTTTCCCAACAGCAGTAACTACGACAGCGTTTCAGCAGATCTAGTTCCTAATTAATCATTTCATTCCATTTTTCCCTATATGGGGATGAAAAAGAGTCTTATCGGTCGGGATGAGGTGGTTTGATTGCGTAATATGTGGTGTTATTCGTAGAGTTAGTAGCTCAACGTTCTGCCATTTCCTAACTTACTTAAACCGTGTCTCACCTTATATTTGGGCAGTTTGTATCATGAATCCTCGCATAAGCTATCTCCTAACTACAACGCTTATTGCTTATATCCTTACACCCTTATCACGTACGCTTCTGTTAATTACAGTATTCAGTTCCTGAAAATCTAACAGTAGATCTAACAGTAAGTGAACCTAGAGTATGAGTACACCACAGTAAATTTAGCTTACTTTTATTTCCCGAAATTTCTCGGTTGCATTTTGTCTCTTCACTTTCTTGTGCTTCTGAGATACTTTTTTGAGATCACTGCAAAGTATGACAGTATTCCTACGTGGTCATTCTCAAAATTTGCGTTCTCTATTACGGTCTAATTTCCATACCTCAAACAGAAAGGATGGGTTGTCTTAAACGCATCCTATATGGTACTTCAAAAATTGGGATTTGTTTATGGATCTCCTCTTTGTTAGGTGGGTTGGTGTGAAGTGCGAATTTCAGTATGAATTTCATATATTATAATCATATTTGACTAGAATGGATACTTTGTCTAGCGGACTATCTCTATCTATAATGTTAGCTCATACGAATAGATAAATTTTAAAATGATACTTCACTAACTTTTCTGTACAATATTCCACTGAACAAATCTTCAGTCAAAATTGTATTTTTTTGCAACACCCAGAGAAATATTATGAGTTTTTCTTACTAATAGTATTCACTGCGATAGTTCTACCTTAAAATCACTCCTGAAGGTCAAACAGTGAGCGTACAGCTTCATTCAAAAAATCACAAGACATGTTCACTTGTTTCAGTCGACTCAACGAGTAGTCACACCATAAAAATTGGACATCATTTAGATAGAATTCACCAGGTTTCAAAAACCTGAATATCATTTATCTTGATGACTAGATAAGGAACTAGTGAAGCACTTCTCACCCTGTTCGGGACACGTCAGTTGGGTTTATACACACCTCAGTGGGTGATTCTGTCCCAACTAAGACTCGAACACACTGTAAATCGGTTCAAAAGCAAAAGCGTAATTCACAAGGTCAGTCGGACACGGAAGCCAATTCATATGAAGCGGGTATAATTTTCAAGGTCTATTTAGGATCGAACCTCATCGCCTATACTAGTACACGAGCTCACTAGTCGGTCCTAAACCCGGGTAAAGAGGAAAGGTTGGGAATACGGCTAGCAAACCTACCAAGTAAAACCAATCCAACCACTAAACAAACTTCAAAGCACTAAGAAAACATAAAATTAAATTTATTCCTTCCTGGAATCGGGGGATGAAATGACGCCGGTTAGTGAAAGCCTTCGAGAAACCAATCGGCCGATGTGTCTCCGATCACTCGATGAATGCAAAAGTAAGATTGGAGATATGGAATGCTCACACCATGTATGAACCTACCAAGGCTGCCCAGATTGCAGAAGAGATGAGAAGGTATCGCATTGAAGTGTCAGGAATTTGCGAAAGCAGATGGAATGGAAGTCGACTCTCCAAACTGTCAACTGGAGAGTCAATAATCTAATCTACTCCGATATTGTCACCCAGACGATGACGACCACGAGCACACTGAGTTTTCCAGTGACTATCATGATGTTCCCCACTCGAGAGCATAGAAGGCTCTCTCTCATGCAGTGGGAACCAATCTTCTCCTGCAGGATCAGGATCATAACAGCAAGGTCCAACTCAAAAGGCAGGAAAGTCACAATCACACAATGCTACGCTACACACCTACAAATAATTAAACAGATCAAGAGAAGAATGAGGAATTCTACAGACAACTGCAGTCAACAATGGACACAAGCCCTCCCCAGTTGGCCACATCAAAATTCTAATGAGTGGGTTGACATGAATGCGGAACTGGGAGCCGACAACACAGGAAGAGAAGTCATCATGGGTCGAGAGTCACTCGGTGAAATGATGAATGAGAATGGAGAACTGTTTGCAGACTTCTGCGCATTCAACGATTTGCTGATTGGAGTCAGGTAGTGTGTACAAACAAACACAAGCACATTCACAAGGCAGCGACATCGATTCGATCTCACCATTCACCAGATGGACACACTACACTAGAAATCAGATCGACTTCATCTCAATGTGGAGAAAGTGGAGACGCAGTCTACTGGACACAGGATCAAATCAAGAAGAGGAGCAGATGTGGGTTGACAACACTCACTATCTAGTGAGAGGAACCTACCTTGAAAATCAATCAAGTTGAAAGCCTTCAAAGAAGCTGGTGATGATAGACCAGAGTTGGAGTTCAATACCCAGAACAGAGACTGGACTGAAGGACGAAACTACAAAGGACATCTTCACATCAGCCAGCCATGAAGACAAAATGGGAGATATCGAGCAACATCTCTGAAGAAACCTGCGTTGAAGAACACTGGAACTCTTTGAAAGCTGTGTGGGAGGAAACCTGCATGAGCATGTTAGGAATGGAGGAGAACAAGATGAGACGAGACGAGACGAGACGAGACGAGACGAGACGAGACGAGACGTGAGGAGATGGGATGGGATGGGATGGGATGAGACGAGACAAGGCATGGATCTCGATGGACACATGAAAGCTGATAGAGGAGGGAGAGAAGGATGGTGAGGCAGAAGATGAACCACTGCAGTGCAGTGCAGTGCAGGGATGAACAACGAGAAGAGGAACTGAGTACACCATGTAAAACACTTCACTGGACAAAGAACTGAAGAAGAGTGTGCGGAAAGATGAAAGACACTTCTGTGACTGACTTGCAAGTGAAGGAGTACAGGCACATGAAATGATCTGAGTGGGCAGAAAGAATAAGTATATGGTGTTTGACCGATGAGAGGACCCTAGGAGATTTGGATTTCGCCAGTGGTGATTTATGTCTAGTGTTGGGCAAACTTGAAGATCCACAGGTGAGAACCAAGAAGTTGGCAGAAGAGGCGGGGCAGCGAGGATGGGACTTCCCTCAGGTGAACGTAGAGAAGATAGAGGGGATGAAGATACTCAACCAACAACAACAAGCACCAATCACTATCAACGGGAGAAATCTCAAGGAAATTGTTTATTTCACCTAACTAGGCAAGGCAGCATCGTTTGAAAAACAGGTAGCAGCAACACAGATGAGGATGTCAAGGCCAGGATTGGAAAAGCAAGACAGGCCTTACTTCATTAGTCTGAAATCAGTGTGGTGATCTACTGCACTCCACTCAGCACCACTCAACACCAATGTCAGCCAAGTCAGTGCTTCTATATGATTGTTGAGAGACTTGGCGCATTACGAAAAGCGTTTCTAACAAACTGCAGACAAACATCATCAGCAGACGTTCGATACTGAAGATCAGATCAGATGGCCAGAAAGAATGAGCAAGAAGGAAGCTTGGCTGGCTGGCAACGAACCCACCAAGAACTCATCACCCAACAAATATGCAGAAGAAGGTGGAGATGGATTGTATTGGACGTACACTAAGAAGGCCGACTAGGGACATCTCGCGCCAGGTCATCGAGTGGAACCCAAATAGGAAACGACGAGTTGGACGTCCGAGGTGAGGGTGACATGGAGGAGATGGTGTGAGGAAGAAATGAAAGCTTGTGAGCAGTGGTGGAGCCAGGTTGAAAAGACTAAAGAGAAGAGAGTGAAATGTCTATGTGCTACTGACATGTTTTTTTCCACTGGGAACCCATGGAAAGTTATTTATAATAATAGTAATAATAATTCTTATTAGAATCGCTTGACTCCCGTTCTGGATACTACTACTGGTTACCAATATGAATATCGCATGGTATCGAGGCATCCGCATATTAGCCCATCTGCCATCAGTAGTAGGACAACTCGACCCTGTATAACGATGGGAAACTACTAGTGTCAATCAAACGCAATACCATACTCCCGAAAAATTCGATGGCCACGAAAAATGGTTACAATTAAATTCTTTCAAGTAAAATAAATCGCATCCTTTTTAATCGATGCAGTCAGAAACGTATAGTTTAAGTATGCATTAAAAAATCTAATCTTGTGATTTGATCGAAAAGCTGACCAACGATTACGGAATAACGGCACCTTTTTATGTTGTCAATTAATAAGAACCAAATTTTGTGTCCTACTTGATGTCTAAACGTTGACCAGTCAAAACATAACATCTACTACAAACTTGATTAATGGATTTGGATCAGTACTCTAAAGTGGACATTTGTGTAGGTAACCATCCATCTGCCGACAAATTAACAAGTTCCAGTCCTGGAAGAAATCAGCTACGGTGTAGGCTATCAGAATGTTCTGATTTTAAGCTTTCTTCATTTTAACCGACTACATGTAAACCAAAACCTACGGTTTATCTTCAAAACTTTACACCAAATTATTATGCTTCGAATATTCCAATTATACTGACACAAGTAAATAAAGACTAACCACAGTTATTTGTACACACGAAAATACACATTTTCATCTCACCTATAATCCATCGTACCATGTAAGATAATTCGTATCCTGCAGCGCTCATTCTAGTACTAGGTCTTCTTCTAACCACCGACTGCGTTCTACGACAACGTCCACGTCCTGAACCCGGATGCTCCGTCGACAAACGTCTACCATGTGTCACTGGTTCAGTTGATGTCATTGAAGACGCACGTTTTTTGACCCCATCAGCAGGATTTAAACAGCCAACACCGAAGTCTGATAATCCATGTGAGAAGTACGGACTTCCAGGATCTTCACCATCAAGGCCGCCATCACTATCATCATTGCGATCATCTTTATGTGCACAAGGTGAACCATTCGAACGGGAATGGGGTTCATCTCCACTTTTTGGTGAAGTAATTTCAATTTTCGGAGTATTTACGTGTCGTTTATTCATACGTTTATCACTAACATGAATATTGGGAATAATGACTTTTACTTGATCTGTCAGTTTAAAGTGAAAACATTCGAATAAATAGCTAAATAATATTTTTGGTACAAATGAATCTTAAAAATGGAAAAACTGGGCATCTGTAAGTGAAAAAACCATCATTAAACAAATATAACTGCATGTTGAATATATCGAATTAATTTTGAAGATAACATATCATACATTTCTTACTGCATTTAATTTTTTCGAAATTGAAATTATTTTTGTACATGGATACTCAGTGGTGTGGTTTCAGCCATGAAGGTTTTTAATATATGATTTAAAGAATTCTACACTTAAAATCATAAGACTGAAGCAACTATACAATCCATAGATATGAGTCTACATTAGATAGAGGCGGTTTGGTAGACTTTGCTTCGTTAATACGGGAGATGATTGAAGGTGTAATGAAATCCTGGGTTGTGGCTACCGGTAACATGGAGGCCGTTGGTTTGAATACTGCTGCGTCAGAGATCCTTATTTCATCTTCCAGTACCAATAAACTTGAAGGTTTTCTCGGAGAAAGCAATGAAATGCACCATGTATCTAAAATATTGCACATCTGACAACTAGTGTCTCAGAATATACAATTAATTCAATTCAGAGATATGGTAAATTGATTTAGGCTATTCTCAAACATATTCCTAAGCTACATTTTTAGTGTGATGGTTACTCTGAAAATGCTTTTAAACTTGAAAATTAAGTTACAATCACTAAATAATTTAACTCAGAAAACCCCACTAGACACCAACTTGAGGTACAAAACTTCATCATCTGATTAACTAATGACACAATTCACAAATATAATATTTTATTCTCTTCCTACATCTATATATATATATATATATATATATATATATATATATATATATATATATATATAAAGTCCAAACCAATCTATATTAGAAAGACCCATGCTAATAATTTCATGACGAAATTTCACGAACGTTTTTAAAAACTGATAGCTCCAGAATGACTGATCATAATATCACTTATATGATCATTAATCTACAACATTAGAATCTTAACTTATCCGCTTACCTGTCAATGGGACTGTCCCGTTAAGCTTGATAGTTGGCAATTGAATTGTTTTCCGAGGGGAAATTTGATCAGTGATTACTTTGCCAGGTTTCTTCAAGCCATCTTCAGTAGTTGTATGATTATTCGCTGTAGGGGACTTCTTAAATTGACTGAAATTCAGCTTTTTTCGTATTCTTGCCAAAAATAAACATTGAGGACAGTATGGTTTACATACTTGCACTAAATTACGCCCATATCGACTTAAACGACTTAATGGTTTTGAAAGAATTCTTTGTAAGGATAAAGGAAGAATACTTTTTGTTCCGTGTGATCTCTGACGCTTCATGTATGTACTACTAGCCCATGTCGTAAATACATAGATCAGGTAGAATATTAAAAATCCTAAAAGTAAGGATAAATTAAAAATAGAAGACTATTTTAATTTAATCATATATCGCAAATAATTAAAGTTATTTTATGTTGAAAACAAAAGTGAATATCTCCGTAGTATCCCAGGATACGAATATCACGGTGAAGATCTATTTTGATATTACGCTGTCATCACTGCTACTGTTAGCATAGCTTTTAATAACTTACTGTGTAAAAAAAGCATTTGCATTACTCCAGCTATCTTCTAAAGATGACTAGCTGTTAGAGCATACTTACATTTCAATTCAATAGCTTTTAATTTACAGGCATTCATTCATTGTTGAGTTATAATTTCTAAATCAAGAAAACCTAGAGTCAGTGAGATAGCACACTTTGATCAATCATTAAGACCTAGCTCGCTAACACAAACCAAGCCAGCTGAACTTTCATCTAAACAAAAGAGGAAGAAGATTGAAAATGATTTCATCAAGATAAACGGAGTTAATCTACATAAAAATCGATATCTTACAGCTAATCATGATTACGTCAGGCGGAATATGTTGGTGTAGATTTTTTCTAAAAACCAAATATAGTCACCCTACCTTCATGTGATGCTTAGTGTGTCACTCAAATTTCTGTCAACCCATATTGCATCCTGAAGCAAATCGCCGTCTACCTTTTTTTGTAAGATGGAAGTACTTGATGAATGATGTTTTTTAAATAAACTATGGTTAATAGGGGTTCAGAAATGGCAATTCAAACTCAGGATATTAAAGTGAATAAAGGATTTTCCCTTTTTTACTACATTAGTTGTGAATACTTTTGTATTTTTGGGGCCGGATGGTCGAAAGGAAACGACAAGTGAACCAACACCGCCGGCCCGGCAGTCCGTGGGGTATGGTGGAGTGTGTTATTTTTGGGGCCGACCTTTTCTAATCCCCCCCCCCTTCCACTGAGAAGGCAGCATCAGCATGGCACTGCTGGTCATCCAAGGGAAACACCTTACTGCTGTCACACCTCATCCAGCTAGCAGCAGTACGACTTCGCCCTCAGATCCCCATCATAGTGTAGCAATTTACACTATAACGGTAACTGCTTTTCGTCTAACCACTATCCAACAGACATTTCTGGTATGGTAGGACCTCGAGGGAACAAGCGTTCCACCAGCATAGCTCGTTGGGTCATTGTGATATGCAAGCCGGACCACCACGTCAAGGTAGCAGCTATCGGTCGGGAAGTCAGTGGCGCAGATGTATACACACATTATCCTCATCCTAACAACGCTATACCGAATCTCACCATTTTGTCACACCTCTTTCCTTTCTTCTCGTACTTTATATTTCTTTTGACTGCATTCACTTATCTTCATCCTTCACCTCACTACCTTTTTACTTGATGTGCTGATATGAGGTGTGGCAACTCGGACCGTTACGCAGTAATGCCTGGTCCTATGTTGATAATGATGATGATGATGAGTTGTGAATACTTCTCCTTACCATTCAGCTGATAAGTAGCTTGTCACAAAACTTGAATTAGTAAAGAAAATCTTGAAATGTAGTCTGCTTTACATATTTTACTCTGTTGATTAATTCAAAGATGTCAATCTGTCAGCAACAGAAATCTTTTTGCTGAATTACATTTCAACCCTTACAGATGCTATGCCAACAAAAAAATAAATTTTTCTGCGTGACTTCATCCAGTCTGTTAGTAAAAATATTAGTATCCCAAACTCTTTCCTATTAGATGCAGTCATAAGGGTTACTTCAAATTTAAAAATGAATTGTACAAAGAGACATGAAATAACACTGGGACCCGCTACAGGATTCTTTTTAGTTGATGACTTTATGACAAGTCTAGAAAACACCATCTTGTCAGTAGAAGTCAGTGTGCTGCATTTGTGTAAAAGATTCGTCAGTAGTTCTTGCACGTTTTGAGATGATAATATGAACCCTAGGAACCTACATCAAGCTTTTAGTAGTTCTTATCAATCTATCAGCTTAACTCCACAAGTAGAATAGGCCCAAAATTCCACCTAACTTATATTCAACTTTTAAAAAAGATTACTTACTTCACAAATTTATTTGCACAAAGCCGACTTGGAAAGAATACATTATTAATTCTTAAAGTCAAGTCTCACTAAGACGGAAAAAGAATCTTGTCCATTAATCCTGTGAATGAATCGGGAAAATATATACAAACAGAACAATCGACGTAGAACGAAAGAACAGTTGAAGGATTCTAGTGGAAACTGGATCCCCATAGGAATTCAACAAATAAGAATTAAAGCCGGAAAACACCAGGGAGTGAAAAACTCTTGCTCTAAGAAAGCTTCTGCTACTGAACATAGATTTTGGAGGCTGTAATACTGTACATATTCTAAAACAGTCGCTACTATGATGCATAAGCAGAACTTTATTGTAATCTGTTATCAGAACTGATTGATTGTTTACGGCCAACTAACCTCACCAAAGCACACCACGATACTGAATCTTCTATCCTGGCAGTCACACTGTAAAACAGCCGATAGAGTTCGGCCAGCACTCAGGACTAGACAGCATGAAACTGGTTATTCCTCAGGGGTCAATTAACGTAGAGGGATAATTAGTGTACTGTTTACCCTGTAATCGTTTACTGTCTAACATCATTGAATAGTTAAAAAACCGAAGTTTAGTTCACCATCAAATTAATTATCTCAGTATGATGTGAGAAATAAACTGTATCTAAAAAATCATCCTGTTAACAATGATGTACCACCCTGTAGTATAATAGGTTAAAAAACTGATATAGATTTATACTGTGCTACATTGCCTAAGTTCGAATACCACAATACTAATAAATAAAAATCAAAAGATAACGCTTGCCTACCAATGAAAGCGACTTGATATCACGATGAACTACCATCAAAAGTAGTAGATACCGGTGTAGAATCGCACAGCGTCCAAGCCCCACCCCGTTATAGGCAAAAGTTTACTGATGTTGACAACTATCGAATGATATAGACTACTATTTGGTAATTCAGCGTTTGTGTACATAATAAAGTAGTTTGTCTAGTTAAATAAGTTTATCTTAGGCACAACTAACTCACCAATAGCGTCTGTAAAATGAATTTCCCGACGTATAAGGATTGAAGCAGCCCAGCTGACAGCAATCATGTAGAAAATCGTATCTTTCAGAAATGGTCTACGACTCATTTTGAAAGGTTTAAAAAATATTACCAATCCAGCAGTGACTGTATTAACCATTAAACCAGATCCTGAAATTAAATCAATATAAGAATAATAATGGCGGTTACATGAAGAAAATTTCATTTAAAGTTAACGGTATATTCAAAAAATTGTCAGCAATCAAATTAGATCTACTTGATGTCACTTATAGTGCCAAGATCACAGAGACAAGAGCGGTACGCTATGTACAAGAGACTGATATTAGCAGTTGTTGGTTACTTGCACCGATCGGCAAAACTATTTAACTGAATGAACTAGTCTAAACATCAGACAATTATTTCACTTGTTCATCTGGGTTTATCTAGGTTGCTTGACCTCACAGAGATTACCGATTTTAAATTCAATCCAATATTAAGTAGAATTATATCTAGGGGTAATTAAAGCCCTATATAAAGATAATTCTTACCCAATGAATGGGTCTTTTTCTAGATTACTTGAAAGAAACCACCAGATCCATCTGACTGTAAGAAAGCTTCTGTGTAGAATAAATTAGTGTGAACGTGAACCTGAACTATTTAACACTCATTACAAATAGCTGCTGAATACTGTTCAGAATAAAATGTTTAGCATTTGTACGAAGACAGATATGCTGAGAACTAGTTCCAAACGAAGTTCGAACAGGTACAGCCATTATGATTGTTATTATGGAAATTGTGGGACAACCATAGGAAGCACAGAATAAATATTAAACTGTGTTCATTTGATTCCCCCTTCACTTGGAACCAAATGTGTCGAACAGTCACCAATTCGGTAAATTCACTTGTTTTTATTCTTTAATAAGGCTCATAAATCTAAGCCTTTCGATTTCTTTGACAGAGTAACCAGTTGGTACCTTAAAAACCATTGTTCTATAATTTAGGTCTTCTTCTGTCTCTAATAGTAACCTACTCATATAAATCTTCATTTACAATCAACCCCATATTAGATACCCCAATTAATAAAGAAACTAATTCATTAACTCATTAATTATTAGTTCGTTTAATTGCAAGACAACATACTCTTAAGAGCTTGAAGCAACAATCTGATATAAAATTAGAAGCTCAAACTATATTATCATGCACAGCATATTAATACAGTTAATGTAATTACCTAATAAAAAACCTAATCCAAGTCCTTCATCGGGTGCATCAGGATCTCCAGTTGTAATTGCTGTAACAGCACTGAAAACATCAGGAGCGCCATTACCAAATGCTAAAAGTGTAACTCCCTAAATTTAAATAAATGAAAAGTACAAACATTTTCTGTATCTTAAACACATTGTTTCAAATGGACAAACTGCCAGTCCCTAGTAATTATAATCAGATGAAATTTGTTGTGATAATAAGTGATTATTACTGATTCAGTCAGTAGACAAATTTAATTTCTAGTATTGGTGTTACAAGATGACAAATTTTCTAATCATAAGAAGGTTACGAAACTCTTTAAACTGGCAAGTGAATAAGTTTTCTAAATCTTCGCATCCGATATCCTGATACGACTTAAATCATTTACAATTGCCAAATGTAACAAGATTTGGAGAATGAGAAGAATTAACAACATCTTTAGCAATCGAATATGTCCAGTTTAAAATTATTTGAAGCCAGAAATCAGTAGCATCCTTTAAATGGATTCAATTGAAGATTGAAGTTGAAAAATTGCCACGATCTAACGCATTACTGAAACGAAGAAAGTAAAATCAACGCTCAATTGAAATTTGTTGACAAATCATAATCAGCATACAACAATGGTAAGTGAGAACAGGATAGTGCGTAAATGAAGGAATTTATCATTCAAAATTTAACATACAATGCTCGAAAATTAGATGACTGTCATCTAGCCCATTTTTGTGCGGGTTTATGTAAAGACAGATTGCAGACTTTATGATTTCCCTACTGTTGGTGATAAACACAAACCATAAAATATTGACTTAGTTGTCTGCTCAGAAACTGGGAACTATTAGGAAAATTTTATAACTTCATAGAATAAAAGGTAGATTTCAGCCTAGACAATAGTTGTATCATGTGAATACCTCAGGATGTCATTTAAAACAATTAGTTCCCTGTATAAACCTCGACAAAACAATAAAAAGATGTAAATTGTCTAAACCGTGTAATGTATTTGCGCAACACATTCTGAACTGTCTGATCACACAGGTACTTGTCAAAGGTATTTGAGTGAAAATTTATGCAGATAAGGGGTGATAAAAAGGAAAAGAGGGAGGCTGAAATGAAGGCAGAATAACAGTGAAAATCAATAGGGCGGAGTTATTTTTTCGTCACATGCTAGAATGACACATGAAGGAGTCACCTACATAACTCACTAACATTCAACATTTCTACCAGAATTGATATGAAATGTCCAAATACACAAAAGGTAATATGTTTCATTTTGCCGATTGGGTATAGCAACGGAAGGATACAGTATTACAGAGATCCCATCTTAGACAACATAAGTTATTTTCCGTATAAGATATCGAGATTTAGTAAAACAATATATTAATTTAGGTGAGTGGGAAAATTATTTTATCACCTGGGGTAGACTGACCCGTGCAGTACATTTTAAGTAAAATCCATGTGCGACAACTTATCTCATATGCCGGTTTTCATCATCAAACTAAGAGTTAATGATACTGTCAAGATGAATAAGACTGGGAATCAGTCAATATCTTTAGAGTAACGGTTTTTTATTCACCAGTTATGTTCAGAACCCATTCTAATTGTAATTCAGCAAAACGAAAATGCTGTGATCAGTAAGGTCTCTTAGAAGTGGCTCCCATTGAAATATGTGTGGGATAAATGAATAAAACCAATGAAGGCTTCACATTCCAATATTTGTGACCATCTTGAAGCTTACAGTGAAATGTCAGTTGAATCGTTTAGGTCGAACGGTGTCTATCAAGTCTGTCCGTTCTCCTCATTATTCTTCATATCTGTCACAGGTGCCCACATGAAGGCTCTCCTCCCCGTTTGACTTTAAAGGAACTGAACTTGGCTAAGGAGACTTTTCGGTTGACCTAGAGTAGACAAACGATGTAGGTTGGATGAAGAATCTGACAAGATGCAGAGTTTTCTGGACACCTTGATAGGCAATTAGTGAGTGCTTGGGGTCCATCTCCTATGATCCAAACGTGCATTTGACCTTGATGATTGGTCAACAGAGCGCCTAGCCTAACAACAGGAGATACGTGTTTGGGCTTATTCATAACTTCACTTACTTGATAAGTTGTATCAACTGCGGTACGTCAGTGACCAACGAATTATCTGCATGGATTGGAAAGGTTTGACTGGCTTTCGCCAACTTATATTACCCATAATATCGACAGAATATCCGACTGCCTATTAGATGTCAGATACAGTGCGTAGTTGTTCACTTTGTCATACTTCATGACTATGAAATATGCCCACTAAGGATGGGTGACATGGAAAGTCCCAAACTTCTCAACCACTGTTGTCTTCATACCATTCGGCACGTATTGCTGAACCACTTAGTGAACAATGCAACAACTAGGAGTAGAGCCCTAGATAAAAGTATTAGGTCAGCTGATGAGGTCATACGCCGCTGACTGACGTGGATAAGGCACACGCTGCACATATCTAATCAGCAACTATCCTAATGAACGTGCTTAACTGAAGTAGGACTAGGTTAGAAAAAGATTAGTGGTAACCAAACTAAAAAATGACATCAGGTCTCTGACTGCTGGTCTCAGCTAGGTGGGAAGTTGTGGGATTCTATGTTGAAATCCACAAGACAATCTAAGTCAGAAGTTAGATACATTTAGCGATACTGCTGAAAACCAATCTCAGTAGCTCAAATCCTTCCAAGTATTGTCTTCGCCTTAATTTTTTTACCAAACTTCGTTATTTAAATTACCGTCTCTTTTCTCCGTATATTCTTCCACGGCTTCCTATTTCCTTACTTGTTGTCTTGTTTTGGCATTGTCGTGTACTGACGCAAGGTACGATCACAAATATATACAACTATGTAAGGTTCCGCGTAAATAATAAGCGACATAATGAAAAGCGATGGGATGAAATGAATAGCCTTCATTTTATAAAATTTACCCATCATTTAAATAAAACTGACGACGGAAGCAAATGCCAGTTTTTGTTTTTCTGGCATTCAAATTTAAAATCTAAGGTCAAGAACCCACTTTAATAGACCTCATATCTATGAACTGCCTGAAGCGTAAATGAATACTCGAAATTAGCAAGTGCAAATAAGCCTCAGTTTAAATATAACAGGAAAACATATAAACACGTTATTGATTGGTTGGCAATAAAACAAATTTGCATAAATTACGGGTGAAAAATCGAATTCACCCAAAAAATGCACTTACAGCTAAATTTTGATTCATCCGTAAAGTTCGAGCCAAAGCAATTAGGGAGGTGCTAAAGCTGCGATTATTTTTAAATAAAGAAATGCAACGAATGAAATTCTACAAATCATATCAGTTTCTACCAGAAATACTTCTTTATCTAGATGAATTTATCTTGTGACATCATAATCCTTTTCAAATGTTTAAATAATAACAACAGTTATAAAATAAAAGATGGTTGCAAAGAAAAAATTTTTATTTCCAACGAAGTCATTTACTAAGGCTGTACACTCGTGAATATAAGTTCTGCCCAATATAACACATTCATGAGTGTACAGTTTAGTAAACGACTTTGTCGAAAATAATTTCTCTTTGTTTCAAACATCTTCTCCTATGATAAAATGAGTGTATTCCGCTGTTTAAAGAGTAACAATAAAATAGTTGGAAATTTAATAGTGAATATCGCTTTATAGTGAATTGTTCATTTAATTCAAGCTACTCACTAGTAGTTATGAAATTTGCTTCAAAATTCTGAATTACAATTAAGTAGCTTCGAATGAACACGGTAGATTAACATGAATAATTGAAAAACATTCAAAGTAAAAAAATTCTCACTATCCAAATCCAGAAAGTCAAACGACTTGATTGGTATTCTTCTGATTCAAGTTATAAACCTGAATATGTCAACTCCAAGATATTTTTTCATGGCACTATGTTACCACTTTAAATTTTATCTGTGAATACTCCATACACTTGTTCATGTTTTAAAGGTTTAGTTATCTAATCACCCATGAATTTGAAATAAATAATGCTATGATAGCTAAAGTTAGTACCAACACTCACGTTCTCAAAAAGAAATAATGACTTAAAAAAACCTTGCTGAAAAAATCAATGATAACTTACAATGAATCAGATATTGTTGCGAATGCTCCCAACAGTAAAATGAGCCAAAATATCTAGGTGCGGAAGAGAATTACGAAACAGTTACTAAGTTACAGGAATAAATTTGAAAGACATTCGATAATCTACCAATCTGTTTATAAGCACAAGTATGGAATAGTTTATTAAGGCAAGTGAATAGAAAAAATGTCATCTTCAAACTAGACAGAAGTCTCAACCACCAAAACCAGCTAATCAACAAACGTACTATTGTGAACTACGTACAACTCTTAACTCACCAGCTACAGCAGTACCTGTACAGCAGACCACATGAAAATATTCGGAAAGGTTAGAAAAACCAAATACTTAAAACTATATGAACAAATAAATAGCAGCAAATATGCAAGAATTGAAATGACTAACTGACTAGTTGTCATCCCAGCATACATGAAACGCATACCCAATATTCATAACTTCAATCGGCCAGTACATCTCCTACCAGTTCACCGCTCCTCGTTAAACAGGTTAAAGTTGTTACTGAATCTTGCGATTCCCAGATGTTTTTACTCCGAGGACCAAGTTCACATGCCTGCCGTTAGCTGAGATGATTAAGAACTACATTTCCAATTTTTAACAAATTTTAGTTTCAAGCTATTTATCTTCTAATGTGATTCAAAAATATCGGTATTCACACTAAATTTAGATGACTTCACAGGTTTTGATCTTCATTCTAATGAATTAGTCATCACCGGTCGTTCAACTCTACTCAATTTTCCTTCTGACCATTATTCACTGTAATAGAGGTGGCCAACTAAACTCCTTTTATGTATCTCTTATTTATGCGGTTCCCTCAAAATCTATATGATTTTCATTATTAACAGAAAATAATCCCTATGATAAAGCTGTTAACAGCGTTACGAAATTCGTAAAAGGGCTCGTCTTCCAACAGATTCTGTCGGTCCCATTTAATAAAGGTTTTTAAAAACTACAAAGCCTGAATAACAACTAATAAGAGTTTTTAGAAAGTAACTATCTTATCTCAGGAAATAAAAAGTATAACAAGTCAGCGTCTGAAGTAATGGGTACCATATTTAAGTCATTCTGACAACACTAACATTGAAAGATAAATAGATTCAAATGATATACTCCCAAAAAGATAGAAGTTTGCTTTTTCTAGCGGAATACTAACAACCGCCTAACAATATCAAGATTTTGTGTAAACAGTGTAAGGATATTGTTGAAAGGAGACAGTATTCCGGAACCGAATGGTCAACTGCGACTAGAAAGCAAGGGTCAGTTTCTACATTATCTGAACAACAGAACAATGTTATTAGTCTTGAGCAATCTAAATCGTTTGTTGAAAATCTTGAACATTATGCAGCTTACATAAACATCGGATAGATATTTGAACAATAAGTTGTCAAAGTCCTCAAATATGTACCCAAAACTAATAAGTTCAAAAACAGAAGTGTTAACCGCGTTATTAAAAGTTAGTCATAGTTTGGCGCACTGTGAGAAAAAGGAAAACAATAGAACACGCCTAAAACTCACAAATTCCAACTGGTAAAATCACTTATTTGTACCTTTTTTCATCTACATTGAACACGATTTTTTTGTTAAACAGATCCTCTTTTGATGACTTTATTCTAAGACTTTCAAATAAAACCTCTGATAATGCCAAATCTAACAATGAAGTACTATATAGTCCCATGAAATGTGAGCATAAGTTATGTTGAAACAAGTATCAGAATCAACAAAGGGATAGAAAGTGAAATACAAAAACCTTCTCCATTCCAATTACTATTGCCTTTTAGGTGTCGTTAATATCAATAGTATTTAATAATGAATATCCTTAAGTTTAAGACGCTGAATAGTTTTATTCAATAACAGGAAATATTATTCTGATATTCGACAGATCGGAAAAAATATTTCAGCCTTTCCATGTGGCTGAATCTGTAAAAAAACCGTTGGGATTTCATCCCTTCCTAAGATAATTTCACTGAGAGTACAACAGTAAACAAAAGACTTGGGAATTTTCAAATAATTTACTTAATTTTTGACCACCTGCTCACAACGTACCCAATTAAAGTTTAACTGCTGAAGTGAGTTGAACACCTGCACTGAGACCAAGTCGTATTTACAGTACTTAAATAAAGATGAAATAATATGCATAACCCTTATTTGCTCCACAACAAACTGAAGAAATCATGAATAAATAGGATATTTAGACAACCATTGTATGAACCATTCAAACCAGCTCAAATGTACAAAAAATAAGCATGAATCATAAAAAAACAAACGAAGAGCTTATAAGTACTGTGAAATATGGCATGTGACTATACTACTACTACTAGTACTGATAATAAACTGTAACGTTTGCCAAAAAATTGTTAATTCCGTTAACGAATAACATACAAAAAATAGAATGCAGAGTGCATGTTAATGAAAAACATGAAATTCATGGCTGTATTCATGGATATTTTCATTCGTATTGAGCACTCACAATTAGAAATTCAGAGCGTATTTATCCTCATCGACAACAAATTGTCTATTCGAGACTCAGGTAGACAATAAAATCAATGTAGATTTTGAGATTAAACATCATCGAAATTATACATCCGTGTGTAGATGAAACTGTCACCACGTATTAGGAATATAATCGGAAAATCACGAATTGTGAAAATATCACATACGACCAAAGACATGACAGTTCAGAATAAACCAAACTTCCTTTAACCATTAGGAGAGCATAATCCAGATAATTCCGTATATATCCAAAAAATGCAGAACATCATTTTAAAAAAAACGTCATAATATATATACTTCAACCAACACTGATTCCAATAGGGGTTAGTAAACCCAAATTAGTCACCCGACAAAGCAAATGAATGGGTCAGAGCCTGTCATATAAAATTCAGTATTTAGTTATTTATGCCATAAGTTTCAATCATTAATTAGGCTATACTGATCCAGTATTTGTCGAGCGAATATGACCTTCCAGCCATTTTTCAATCTTTCAGTACAAGTAAAATACTTGGAATCACATTATTTATTGTTATAAATTTTTCTCATATAATTTCTTATACAACAAAATTCAGGATTCCATTGATAAGAAACGAAAAAGCATTAATTTACTAAGACATTGTCACAACCCACTCGCAGTCGGCCTATGCAAACAGATGAGCACTAAGGTTTGCACGGCATAACTCATTATAGAACGATTGACTTCTACTAGCTAATAATTCGTACTAGACATCAATCTGCAGATTCAGTAGCCGTCATCGATGCATGCAGTGCACTCTCAGGTTCAAAACTCTGGTAAACATGAAAACAATTGTGAAAAGAAGACACTAATCAGTAAAAGGAAAGTAGATGACACGCTGTATCAAATTGATCATTCTCACTAAGACTTCAGGTTGATTTCAGTCACAAATAAACTTTGAAATAAAATAAATGCGTTTTTCTTCTGTTGTGGGAAGAATATTGGTCTGACACAGAATATCTATAAGTAGTTACTGGTCAGCTAAACAATGAACTGGTTTATCTTTTCAGCTGGTTAAAACTAAAACATATTGTGGTGTAAAAAGAGTAACGAACCACTAAAACCTCTCTGGGACGTTATTTGAGTTAAAACCCTGTCTTATTGCTCATAAAAGACGGCTGAAGAATAACTCTACTCTCAGTGACAACACTAAAGTGCCGCATTTCTGATCGAGGCGTCTGAAGAAGAGCAGTGTGACTAAATTCACAAATTGACTTGCCTTCCAGAAACTATAATTAGGAACCGAAAATTCTTGTGATGTTCTTTGTATTAATTCCGAGTGCTTAACAGCACTACAAATCAGTGCGTAGAGTGAGGGAGATACCGTATCTTCGTAAAATAATGAGATTACATGGACTGTTTTTGTTAATGGATGATTTCATCGGTTTATTACTTCTACGAAGACCAACCCGTTCAATCCGCCTATACAACTGATCTATGGCAAACTGACTAATCTTATTTTAAAGAGAAAGACTCATCTCATTTAAGTCAGTGGAAGGCAGGAGCCGGAAATGTCAAAGGAACTGACTCAAACAGCATAAGCTAAGTCGATCAAGAAGAAATACTGGACAGAGGATATTTAGTCTTCTGACCGGGTGAAACTGAAAAGTATCGTTTTTTTTAACTCATTGACACACTGACACAATAGAGGTGTGTCAGTCACACCACCTAAAGTCCCTAAGTTTGACTGTTTAAATGACTGGAAATGTACATGATCCTACTTAGAATGACGCTTTTCATATAAGGAAAATCAAAATGATGCACTCATTTGCGATAGTAAAAAAATAACTCATAAATGCTAAGCGTCACTGGTTTTTAACAATTCATTCAGATAATTTTTCTAAACCATATGTTTTCTATCTAGAGATACTATTCTCAGCCTAAATGAGAATATCAGTTTACTTGCTGATAAAATCCCAACACAATTTCATTTTAAATAGATTATCACTAGTTTGATCTAAAAAAAATGAAATGCAGAGTACTGATCTGCACCACAGTTTTGTTGATGTAACAATGGAATACCGATTGAATGGGGCTAAAAAGAGAAAGGGTAAATTTGGGAAGAAAGCGATACTAGAGGTGTCATCACTATCACATACTTGATGAATATGGTGCACCCATGTAATCAAAAGGTTCAACATTCAAATCACTTGAAGATACAATCAAAATATATAATTTGTTCAGACATCTTGAAACGACTTGAAAGTACATTCTGAACACTGTCGCACATTACGAAATGCAACAAAAAGTGCGCAAAATCTTATGCACCAGAACATTTATACTTCACACACAACTCAGACTTGTGACGTCGCCGAGATATTCAATTGGTCTGAAGGAAAACACACCTGTACCTGCAAATAAAATGCATTCGAAAATTCACATCACCCAATCATTTCATAACAAAATATCCTCACGATATTCTCAACTCTCACAAGTTTCACTTCAAATCGTGCACAATCCACGTTTCTGTCATAAATGAAGTGAGGACGTACGTCTGATTCACGTGAGTATTCCGAGTTAAATATAGTAGTTAGT